ATTACCCCTCCTCTAGTACACTATGTGTTTAATCTCTGTCCCCTTTCAGGTGTTCCCACCTCTCTTGATTAAGTGACCATGGCTAAGGGCATCCTGTCAGCACACAAGCCCTCCCCTTGGATCTCCAGATTTCCCCCTCACTCTCTGGTGATTCAGACACCTCTCAACTATTTAGTTGCTGCTTTGAGCTTCAGGGAATTAGACATTTGCCTTATCTCTGAGAATTCTAATCAGCTCTAGTCAGCTCCTTCATTATGTTTATATCTCTGCATTCCTAACCATCTGTCTAAAGCAGTTCATGTACAAACATGTCTTGTGAATGGTGGACCTCATTAGATACAACTTGGACTTGACATACAGTTAGGCAGAGTGTTTTAAAGCTTATTGAATCACATCAGGTGTAACTTCTGTTTACGGCAAGGAGGGGAATTCTTTCTGTGCCTGTGTGCAGCCAGTTTTCTGAGGAAAGCAGGTGGGAATTGGGGCCAAGGAGCTGTAACAGCCAGCTGTAGACGTCAGTGGAGAAGTCTGACGTAAGGAAAAGTGATGCAAGGCTCAGGGGGCTGATCAGAGAAATGAGGGGGCTGGGGAGGTGAGGAGCAAGGTTGTCCATAGAGAGCCTGGCCTCAAGGGACTGCTTTTCCTACCTGCCCATATCTGCCTAGTGACCGTCTGCATCACTATCACTTGGAGAACACTGCTATCACTTCTTCTGTAAACAAACATACAAAAATTTACAATATTACAAAAAAATACAATATTACCTTTTATCTGAAAGGCTCATCTGAACTCTTCCTCTTTAACTACTGTCCTGAAACCTCTCCAATTAGCTGCAGAAGTCTTGAAGACTTGAAGAAAATTGTGGACAGAGATAAGGCACCTGAGGGCTCTCTGCCTTTTAATGAGCCCCGTGGTGGTTTTAGTGCTGAGTGTGTGGATGTGCAAGGCTGAGAGGACCTTGCTCAAACTGCTCAAAGAGTCAGAGTCAGCAGCAAACATTGAAGTTTCTTGGAGTATTACTGATCCCCCCTGATGGCCATTACCAACAGAGGCTCGCCATGGACTCGTTAGAGCAGGAAATTGCAGGCAGTGATGCCAGTCAAAGGCAACGTGCTGGTGGCTCTGATGCAGTGTAAAGCCTTGGTGTGTTTTATCAAGCCAAATGCCAAGCCCTGACCCCAGCCCCTCAGAAAAGAGATCCTGTCCATGGCATGAGTCTCAGGCCTCTTCCTGGGATGTGTTTCAGGGGGTGAGGCCAAGTGAGGGACAACAGTACTGCACCTCCTGTGCGAGGAGACAACGTGGCCTTGGTGCCACGAGGACAAGGTATCTCCTCGTAGGCCGTGGTGGCAGAGACATCAGCCACAGCCAGGGGCACAGAGACCTCTGTTCTGTCAGGGCCTTTCAGCCTTGCCAGTACCCTTGGCCACCTCCATGAGGGTCTGTCCTCCACTGTCCCAGGCCTGCGCCTCTTTCCCTGCGGGCTGTAGACACCCAACACACTTCCTCACCGTGTTCTCACCCCCCTGGCATGTCCTTACCCTCACTGACAACTCCCCATCCCCACTGGCTGTTCCTTCAAACAGAAAATCATGGGCTAACCCAGAGTGACCTGTCGTGCCAAAGCACTACCCTTCAGGTGACTTCTCTTCCTCCTCATATCCATCTGGACATCCAAAACTGCGTTTTCCTGTAGTTTTCTTTTCTTGTGCTCCTTCCCACTACCAAAAAATCATGCAATCATCTCTGAAAGTACCCGTCAAGCTTTCTCACGATACTGCTACACTTCCCTGAGCCTCCATTTCACCAGGCCAATGAAGCCCCCCCTCCTCAGCCTTTCCACACATGGCCCCTAACCCCATCTTGGCAGACCTCCTATGGGCCCGCTCCACCCCCTCCCCACTCCTCCAGAGCAGGGAGCCCCACATGAGGACACACCATTCCAGATGTGGCCCCAGCAGTGCTGAGTCGGGGGGGTGGGGTGATAACTCCCACTGTCTGGGTGCCCACGCTCCTCCCAGTGCAGCCCAGTATGCACATGGCCATATTCACGGTTAGCACCACTGCCCCGTATGGCGTCCTTCGTAACGCCCAGGCCCTTCTCCTTAAGGTCGCTCCTCATCCCCTTCAGGTCCAAGCCTGCATTGATCTACAGGGTTGTTTTACCCCCTAATGCAGATGATCAGAAGATCAGAAGGAGAAGATCCCTTCTCCTTGGAAAACTTCTCGAGGTTTCTGTTGGCCAAATCCCTGAGTTTCTCAAGGTCCGCCTGGACTGATGCTCCACTGTGTCAGCTCTTGGTCTGTGCGTGCACGTGACTCACCTGACTGGTGGTGTCACTAGCAGCGTCACAGCACGGGGAATTGAAGTAAGGATATGAGAGATAATAAGGAGGAGATTCTATTTAAAGTAAATTGCATGCCAAGATAGGTATTAGAGTGGTGACCATTCCAGAAATGCCAAATCAGGGTACAAAACAAGCATGGACATGCTGGAGAGAGTCCAACAAAGGGTCGTGAAGATGATGAAGGGACTGGAGCATGTCTCCTATGAGAAGGGGTTGCGAGACCTGTGACTGTCCAGCCTGGAGAGACATGTCCATTTCTGGAAAGGGGGGATGGAAAGCCCTGCTGGGCATATCTGTCCCACTTGAATCCAGGTCCTTGTGCAAGGCTCAGGTGGTGGAGCTCGTCTGGTGCCCACATTTGTCTGAGGGATGGCTGGTCAGTGCCATTCCCAAGCAGGGAGTGAGAGATTTGGTGCCGGGACAAGTCCTGCCCAAGGCAGTTGCAGCTCACAGCTGTGGTGTCTCAAGTCACTGACCCATGGATGGGGTCTGTGAGAAATAAAAGCCCACAGATGTCAATCACCACAAGTAATGTGGCTGACATGATGCCAAGATGCCAACTATGGAAATTTCCAGCCCATATAGTATGTTCAGGAGAAGAAATCCTGATCTTCCTCTGCATTGACCCTCACTAATCTTTCACATCGATCCACATGCCCTGCTTAAACTGACCCCTTCTCAACTTTCTGCAGCCTGCCAGATACTCCCCTTAGCCAAATCCTTGATTGTGTTCCTACCTGTCCTTTCCCATGTATATCACTTGGGATTTTCCACTAAGGTTACTGACTTTGGGAAGTGGCTGGTGATAGGAATGGCACGGTGCGTGGGAACTGGGGAGGGGGTGGGACACGACGGACAACAGAGCTTACACACACAGTATCGTACTGAAAGGATCCTACTTTTCCCACATATTCAGACTTCATCAGGAGTCACTCTGGATCAAGAGGAATTGGGGGAGGCTGACTCTTGTTCTGGAAGCAGAAACAGACGGAAAACTGGTAAAAGCAGGTATCTTGTTCTATTGTTACTTCTACAGAAATCTTCTGTTTGGCTACACTCCTGGAGTCTCCCAAATCAGCCACACAAGACCTGAAGAATTCAGGAGAATTATGCAGGGAGCCTTGGATTGTTAGGGCATTTTGCATGATAATGAGCTCTCTGGTGCCAAGTTCCTGAACTGCAGATACTGAGAGAATGAACCAGCTTATATTGGGCTAAAAAGACAATTATTTTTTTTTGGGGGGGGGGGGGGTGGGGGTGTGGAGGACAGGGGGGATAGGGCAGGGGGGGACAGGAACAAAGGTGGCTTCTGTGAAAAGATGTCAGAAGCTGCCCCCATATCCATCAGAGCCAGTTCCAGCCGGCTCCAAGATGGACCCACAGCTGGCCAAACCTGAGCCCATCAATGACAGTGGTAGCACCTCTGTGATAACATCATTAAGCAAGGGGGGGGAAATGTTGTGCAATAGCAACTGGGGGATAAGAGTGAGAATATGTGAGAGGAACAACTCTGCAGCACCAAGGTCAGTGAAGAAGGAGGCGAAGGAGCTGCTCCAGGTGCCGGAGCAGAGATTCCCCTGCAGCCCATAGTGAAGACCATGGCGAGGCAGGTTGTTCCCCCACAGCCCCAAGAGGTCCACAGTGGAGCAGATACCCACCTGCAGCCCTTGGAAGACCCTATGCCAGACAAGATGAGTGTCCCCCAAATGAGACCGTGGCAACGTGAAGAGCCCGCACCAGAGCAGGCTCCTGTCAGGACCTGTGGACCCATGGAGAGAGAGGAGCCCATGCTGGAACAGTTTTGCTGACAGGACTTGTGACCCCATGGGGACCCATGCTGGAGCAGCCTGTGCCAGAAGGTCTACAGACCATGGGAAGGAGCCCCGCTGGAGAATTTCATTCAGGACTGTCTGCCATGGGTGGGATTGCACACTGAAGCAGAGGAAGAGTGTGAGGAGGAAGGAGCAGCAAAGACAACGTGTGATGAACTGACCACAATGCCCATTCCCCATCCCCCTGTGCTGCTAAGAGAAACAATTCCCAGGATCTCAGTTTTACGTACGAGGTACGCAATGCATGCACCCGAGGGGCATTTTACACAGCAGTTCTGTATGTTCCCAGCACAGCCCCTGTGAACTTTCTGGAAAGCTGACAGTGTGCATCCCGGCCGCAAAGGCTCAGGCTGAGGAGCCAGAGAGGAACGTGGCCAGAGGAGGATGAACGAGAGCTCCTAAAGTCTATCCAGAGGAACAGCACGGCCAAGGGACTGACAGGAGCCTTTCCACATCACCGCCAACTTCCTGAGTTTTCAGGCTGCCCCCTCCTCCCCCGGCGTGCATGTCCAGGCCCCTTACTGCACCGGAGATGAAAGCAGGGCTCCCAGGGACAGCCTTGCTTTTTGATACAGCCAACTCATTCTCAAACCAAGGGCAGGGGAGAAGCGGACCACAAAGATTCTTACGTGATGTACAGCCACTGGGGAAAGGAACCAAAAGCTTGTCTTCAGCATTTCCATGCTGCATAAGATAGCATTTTAGAAGGCCCTCAGAAACAATGTCTTTTAAAATTTTGGCTTGTAAGGCATCCACTACCATTATGAGTCTTTCACATGAACACTCTTACTGTAGAAGTTGCACAATTAATAGGGAAGAGTTTACTTGCTCTTAGATTTTTTAATTTCCTCCTGATGCTTTAGTTTTTCGAAGAACAACTGAAAAAAATCCGAACTTTCTACATGTCTAGGAGCAACACAAACAGCACCTATGTCAGCACCTGCAGAGAGATTCCATTTCTTCTGTTATTGTTAGAAGTCACTTTCAAACATCAGAACTATGAGCAGACAATGAAAGTTCTACCTTGAGTGTGTACTCCAAGCCTGTAAGAACCAAAGGTAAATATTTTGACACCAACATTTGCTGCTGCTGAAGGGGGAAGATTCTGTGGGTAGAAGAGAAAGCGTTTACTTTAGAACAGAAGATACACATTGACCTGTGTGCAAGTTTAGGTAGCATGCAGGTTTCTTAGAAAGACTACAACAGCCTCCATAAACAGTGTCTTCTCACGCCCATACTGAGTTGTTAGTCTAACAGGTTGCTGCCGTTTTTCTGAAATGAGTGCCTGCAACTCAAAAAAAAAAAAAAAAAAAACAAACCAAAACCAAACCAAATAGATGAGTAATGTAGCAGTCCTTTCATTAATTTACACAAATTAAGGACTATTATTAGTCTTCCCCACAGCAGATGCACATAAAGGAACACAATCTCTGCAAAAGGCAAGTCTGGTGTCCTACTTTCAAACCAGACTGGGTGCTGCAGGCTGTTTGGGGAGAGATTAGTGCCCATTTCCCACCTAGCTCACCCCACAATACGATGTTTCAGCTGTGTTAGCTGCCAAAAGTCAACCCACAGAGCCACTTCACACATTTATTCAGTGCCCCAAAGACTTCAAGATTGTGAACTGTAGTATCTTTTATACCTTATTTCAATGGCAGTTGCTACAGCTCTACTCAATACTTAAGGAGAAAGTTAAAAGTTGAACTTTAGCATAAATCCTAGTAGTATGGCCTTTAAGAGAAATAAAAAGGCTTCAGCTGTTTTGGTAATAACATATAAAAAATCCTTACCTTGATGTCACCAAATTCTGAAATCCATTCTTGGAACAAGTTACTCAGTTTACCAAGAACCACCAGCTTGTAAAGGAAATTCATGTTAAGTTTTCCCTGAAAAACCCAAGAGGTTAACAAATTTTAGCCTTGTTATACTGGTGATTCAGTTCCTCCTGCTCTTCAAATACCCAAAATGGCTTCGTTGCTGCAACTGGCTTCTGAGTACGGATTCAATCTACATCCTTAGGAGGAGCCCAGATAATGGGAGAAGTGATTCCATAGTGCCTGTGAGGCTGCTTCTGCAGCCTAGAAATACTGAGGGAGAAATAAATACTGAACACTTCACAAAAGGGAAAAAAAAAAAAAAAAAGAAAAAAGAAAAAAAGAGAACTCACTGGAAAACACCTTTCAGCTTACAGGTTTACCAAATCAACTTCTGCTTTTACGCGGCATTAATATAAACGAGAGAAAAAAAAAAAAAAAAAAAGAAAAAAAAAGTACTGCAAGTCCTGCTTATGATTTGTAGGTAACTTGACCTAACTTTGAAATCCAACTACTTTTTTAAACACATTTGTGGATCTAAGGAAAGAATCAAGTAGCTACCATCTTAATACAACTTGTCTGCGTTGCTCTAGACAGTTAGAGCTGATCACCAGGAAATGAAAGGGTTTGAAATCCACTAAGGGTGATACTACACACAGCAGAAGTTTAGGACACATTTCTGTTTCATATCAGTTTTCATTTAAGGATATTCCCATCAGCTTCCCGCTAACATTAAACAAGACAATTTAACATTGGCTTCTTTTAGTTAATGGTATTTATGCATGTCTTAAATCTAAAGAAAAGACATCACTGCGGCTTGGTTTCTCCTTCCTTGCCTCCATGGACAGCAACTAATCCAGGAAAACCAAAATCTGTTCACCCATGTAAATTAAAACTGCACAGCCCAAACACCATTCAATTTTCATATTATTCCTTAATTAAAGGCACAAAGGGGAAGGTCTGGGGCTACTGAATTGCTGAGGTCCATTTTTGAAGCCCGTTGCTGTCATCACAGCAACCAAAAACTGTTCAAATAAGAATCCACTAGCCTGACTTATGAAACCGAAGTTTGAAGAAGAGCACAGCCCCAAGCAGCCCGGGGGAGCTGGCAGGGCTCCTGGCTGCAACTGGGGAGCAGGAGCCGCCCCGGGCGCGGGGAAGCAGCCCCGACCCCCCCCGAGCTGGGATTTTCAGCGCCAACTCCCAGCGCTGCGCAGGCCCCCGCTGCCTCTTGCCCCAAGAACGAGGCCCCAGCCGAGCAGCTCGGGGCTGCCCCCCCAGCCGTCCCTCGGGGCGGCCAAATCAGCTCCTCGAGGGGCTTCGGCCGGGACCCCGGGCTGGGGCCTGGGGCGGGCAGGGAAAGGGGCGGGACGCCCCCGGCTCGCAGCCCCCCCGGGCTCGGGGCTCCCCCAGCCCTTGCCGGTGGCTCCCAGCCACCCCTCCGTTCTCCAGCCCCCCCCGCCAGTCCCCCCAGCACCCACCGCCCCACTCCCCAGCCCCGGGGCCTCCCGCAGCCCCCCCCGCCCCACTCCTCGGCCCCCCGAGGGGCTCCGAGCCTTTCCCCAGCCCCACTCCCTGGCACCCCCCGGGGCCCACCCCCCGCTCTCGGGCTCCCCGGGGGGCCACAGCTCCCCCCAGCCCCCCTCCCCAGATGCTCACAGCCCCCCCAAAGCACGGAGCCCCCCCCAGCCCCACTCCCCAGGCTCAGCATCTCCGCCCCCACCGCCCCCCACCGCTCCACCGCCAGGGGGCGGGCCCGCAGCACGTCCCGTCCCCGCCCCCTCAGCAGCCAATCAGCGTGCGGCTCCCCCGGCCGCCCTCCCGGGGCATGCTGGGAGTTGTAGTCCCGTCCCTGGGGTGCGCACATGCGCACGGCGCCCGGTGAGGGGGGCAGGGGGTGCAAGGGGCCGCGTGCAACGGGGGTGGGTGTGCAGGGTCCTCGTGCAATGTGGGGGTGTCACCTCCCTTCCCCGTGTGATTTTACGCCCCGTGTCGCCGCTCGGGGCTCGCCGGGCAGTTCACCTCTGTGCTGAGCGGCACTGGGGGGGAAGTTCATTAGAGCACATGGATTTGTAGGATGGAAATGACGGATCAGCTCAGCTCAGAAAATCAAGGGGAGCTGGAGGGACCGGGGATATTCCTGGAAATCATAACCAAGAAAACTCCCCAAGCCAAATGAGAGTTTAAAAATCCAACGCTTTTCTTACAGTGCTGGGTGCGTGGGGATCTTTCCTCCTAACATGCACAACCAGGGACAAAAGCACACTTATCATATGCATTAAAAAATAAACATACATATAATCTCTAATATTTGTATAATTTCATTCCTCTAATTTCTAATACAATTTATAAAATTTAAAGACTATGAAACTATCTCCACGCAAGCGTACTGAATTGGGGAAGGGTCTCGGGTGGTTGTTTTGAAGTACAGACCTTAACTCACTTTACCCACTGATGGTCACAGCTCACGGTTTGGGCTGCTGCTCAGCACGCAGACCTGCTGAGCTTGTCTACAAAGTGCACACAAAGGAGCCTGCTCCTTGTATCCTTTGTATACGAACGGAATTGTTCACGTCTGTGGTATCAACAGGTCTAGCTATAACCCTTAATTTATGACTTTTTAATTTTCTGAAAAAATAGCAAGAATGCCCCCTATTTCCCTGATGAGGCCAGGAGACGGGAGTAGCAGGTTGTGTTTTTCCCCAGAAAAATCAACACTCGGGATGGCAAGTGTTACATTCAGGTTTTCCAGCAGGCAAAAATGGCATCCTCTGTTCATTATTCTTTTTAAAAGACCATGGAGAGATTTTTTCTTTTTTTTTTGGGACAGGAAAAACTGCACTTAAGAGCATCTGCCACAAGAAAGTTTCAGACAAGAACTATACACTTTGTAGAAAAATACAAATCTTACCTATTGATGAATGAAAAGATGTGCAGGTGTCTAATCAGGTTAATCTGTGTAAGCTCTGTGCTCACTGACCCTGCTGAAGGTACAACACAAACCCAGCTCACCTGCAGTCATTAACTGTGCAGATTCCGGCCAAAACATGGTATTACAGTCAAATAAAAATAGACCCTGTTCCTCTTCTGTTTACACAAAAAGTAGTGAGCAAAAGCCAAATGGGTGTTCCTCTAGATTGCCACCCAAATTTTGAGGCTTTTGTACCGCTGCTGATGGACAGCAAAGACTGTTTGCATGCTTCAGGTTCACGTGCAGGGAAACCTGAAACATGCCTTGAAATTTGTCAAGAATTCTGAGAAATTCACCACCTGATCTTAAGCCATTTAAATTCCTGTGTTAGGAAGCTGGTTTCTGTGGGGTCTCTAGACACTGATGAATGACACGGTCTTCGAGAAGGTGACTCAGAGGAGGAACTAAAAACACCCCAAAGACTAAAAACTTACTTGTGTATTTTCCATCTCTTCCAGGGGGTGATTATCTCAGCCTGAAAACCAGAAGGGAAAAAAGCCCACAAATGAAATCATAGAATGTATCAAGTAAG